AAGGCACTGTGCCCTTAACGGCGCACCTGAGGGTGATTCCGTGTTCTGGTCAGGCCCAGCCGGCGACGAGCAGCACAAACACCACCGACTGCAAGAAGGCGGCTTCGCAGGGTTTCATACTACGATTGTCCATTGCTTCTTGCGCGTAGGAGAAGACTGTGTGGGAGAAAGCCGTCAACAACGCCGGGGGCCCGGAGAACCTAAACCACGAACCCTAAGCCCCCTGGTTTCAACTGAACGCATAAAATCAATCCGATGGCAGGCTCGCAGCAAAGCGTGGAAGAAAGCCAAGTTGCAAGGCCTTTCACCCATGTCCTGCCGAAAGGCAGGACAGGTTGCGGTTGCAGATTTCAAGCGGGCAGAGCTCGAGAACCGTCATGAGACGGAGTGATAAGTTAGGATAAGTTAGTTGCTTCCAGACGCATCGTGAGTTGCAATTTCGACGAAGCGCCCCCGGACGAAAACTTGTCAGACACTGTGTGTGTGTGTGTGTGTGTTTTCTGCGTTGCATAAAGTTGGCAAAGCCGAAGCGTCATTGCAGGACTCATAGGCGGTCACAAGACCGCCAGTAGTGACAGAACAGTGACATCGACACCTACGTCTCGTGGTGTTGGGCGGCCAGTTTTCCGTCGAGGTTTGACTGAACTTTCGTGCAATGTTTGGAACAAGAGTTGGCAAACTTGAACCGCCATTTTGCAGGACTCATCCATCGGCGGTCATGAGACCGCCGGCGGCCTAGCCGCCTCGGAGACATCGACGACAATGAGATCTAGACCTACGTCTCGCACTGTTGGGGGCCCAGTTCCGGAAGTTTTGAATCGACTTGATACTTTTAAAATTTAATATATTCCGAATCGCCAGGCTCCAGTTGTAACAATCAAGTCTCCATTCTGCGCCAGGTTTGGAACAAGTCTGTGCACGCGTGCCTGCATTTAGCAATGATTGTCTTAAAGGATTGCATGACATGCATGTAGGGTTTTGGTTTTGGCTCCGGCACGAAAAGAGTCAGGGCATGCGCAAGGCCATGGAGCAGCCAGGGACATGCGACGCACCTCCCTGGAAGCCAGACAGCAAGACACGCCCAGAAGGAGGCGGCACGCTGGCCGAAGCGTTGCTGGAGACCTTGCGCGGAGCGGAAGCCGCGCGCGGCGGCTGCACGGAAACTGGGCAGCGTATGGCTGGGCCCGCTATGGCAGGGCGCATGGAGACCACACCGTCGTTGCACGACATGCTGGCCGACTACATCGAGAAGTGCCACCTCGATATCCGAGCCATGCGCCGAGAGATCAGCCTCCTGAAAGCACGCGTGTCTTTGTTGGAAAATCAGGTCGTTTCAAAAACCTCTGAAGACTGATGCTGACGCCGCAAAGGAGTCGCAAAAAAGGGCAGTGGCGTCTCACTCTTCACTTTAAGCGCATTATGCTTCTGATGATTCTGAGTCTGACAGTCAGAGCTGACGACTGATCGTGGGTGCACTGTGTGCGAGGCCACCCTTGGAATGCCTGTTGCCCGGCTCGAGTTCAAGGTTTGCTGCGTGCCTGTGTTGGAGAGAGTGGGCCTTAGCCAGGACCAGAATCCAAGTGCCCCATATCGCGACAAGACACTTTTCACTGTTCACAACCTCCGGGGTTGGCTTGAAAGGCTCAGGTCTCCAGACCGTTTGAAAGGCTCAGGTCTCCAGACTTGTCGGGGATAAATAAGGCTAGCCCTCTCTCTGTTGAAGGCACCCTTTGTAGTGCGGAGTTCCGATCCTCCATCACGATGGCGCATGCGCGATGTGTGACTTTGTGGGGCTTGGTGCAGCAGCGCCTCCAGCAGGTGGACCAGAATTGGCTCTTGGACTACGGCACCGAGTACCAAGGCCTGGATCCCCGCGAGAAGGACGAGTGGCACGACTATTTCCACGAGCACTTTGACGGCAAGGGCAAGAAGGTGAGCAGGATCACCTTGCAGCTCTTGTGCCCTTTCTTGGTGGAGGCCTACGGTTTGGACAACCCCGCCACAATGGGCAAGCTGATGGAGGGGCTGATTGCGAGTCTTGGCTTCATAAAATGTTAATATTAAAAGATATAAACTGTAAACCCTAAACCCCTAAATTTAAACTAAACCCCTAAACCCTAGGCCCGAAGCCCTCAGCCCTAAACTCCTCATCCCTAAACCCTTGGTTACGCATAAGGTAATCTGACTTTAACTGGTCGAGAACATAATAAAACGCCCGCCACGTTCTCATACCCTTTTTTCGCACACAATCAGAAACCTCAACTGCGTCTGGCGCCATTCCCTAAACCCTAAACCCTAATACGCTGGCAGTTGGTGTCTACAACATGCGATTGGCCACGGTCCCGGCGATCACTCAACTGATTCAGCAGATGCAGCCGCCGCAGATGATGGGCGTGCAGGCGGGCCTTCAGCCTCCCTCCTCCACATGGTGACCTATTCAATGTTTGCGAGTTGGGGCAGAAGGAGTTTTAGGGTTTTGGTGCCCCAAACCCTAAACCCTGAACCCTAAGGTTTAGGCTTTAGGGTTTGGGGTTTGTGGTTTGGGGAGGGCAGCAAGCAATCGGCCTGCAGGCGGGCCTTCCGCCTCCCGGGCAAGCGGTGGCCCCACAGCCGCCAGCACACCTGGCCCAGCAGCCTCCTTGGCTGCAGCAGCAGCAGTTGGCCAACCAGGTGCCTCAGGGTCATGAATGGGCACCATTGACTGCTATTTGATGCTGCCTTAAAACGAATTTGGCCCAAAGGGCCCCTATTTGCGATTTCAAGCCTCAGGCGCAGCAACCAGGAAACCAGCAGCCGTGACGACGTGCCGAGCGTATGAGAAACCGGGCCAGCAGACGCCGTGGGGGCCGTGGGATCATGTGGCGAGCACGCTTTTGGTGACAGATGGAGAATTGGCAAGCTGGAACCCGATTTTGGATACGAGGCGATGATGCCGAGTACGGTTTGGAAACAGTGTAAACTGGAATACTGCCAAAAGGCAGCTTGCAGGCTTGCGCACCGTTTTTCCAGGTCGCAAAATGCGACGTGGCCGCGTCCTGCCTCGCTTAATTAATTAAAATCTGGCATTCGAGTGCCGAAATCCGAGCGATCGAACTCCTAGCTCGCAGACTAATAAGAGAAAAGGAATCGGAATCGACAACTGCGTGACTGAGTCCTGTCCAGCCTGAGCATTTGCTGTGGTACGGTGCATTGCGACGGAACTCAGGTCAAACTTCGACATCGACGACGACAAGGGGTTCCCTATACGCCCTAACCCTGGACCCCGAAACCCCTAAACTTTTAAACCCTGGACCCTAGACCCGGAACCGTAAAACCTTTAGAGCCTCGACCCTAAACCAGAAAAATCACCTCAAACTCACATTCTGAGGCGGTCTGCGAACCGCCGGCGGTTTCCGCCTGGAAAGACAAAAAAAGAAAAAGAAAGAGAGAGTGAGAGAGAGAGAGAGAGAGAGAGAGAGAGAGAGAGAGAGAGATGAGAGAGAGAGGAGCGAGAGAGAGAGAGAGAGAGAGAGAAACCAGGCGGCAGAGACAAAGAGTGATAGATAGGGATTCAAATTAAAAACCCTGAACCCTAAAACCCTTAACCCCAAATCTAGGCTGAAAAGGCGCTGTGAGTGATGAGATGAAATTATTTTGAAAGTGAAAAACGTGCTTCGGGTCTAGGGTGCCGAGCTTGGGGTTTAGAAAAGAGGGTTTAAGGTTTTAAGGTTTCGTGGTCAAGCTCTAGGGTTTGAAGATTTTGGGTTTAGGGTCGAGGCTCTTTCTTTGAAGGAAGGAGAACGTTAGTCAAACGTCAAGTATTAGCTTTCAAGATATCATGCTTCGGGTCTAGGGTCCCGAGCTTAGGGTTTAGAATGCAGCGCTTAAGGTTTTAAGGTTTTTGTTTAGAAATTTTCCACCACGCTGCTTTCAGTTCTTTTTGTCCAGAAAGGCTATAGTCGGTCACCGAAAACTTCGTACAATAACTGAGTCATCATGGACAACTAACTCTTTTTTTTGGTACAAAACTGAGAAACAAGACTCCCAGAAGCTTTCCGGTAGCCTCCCAGATCGCCCCGCACAGCCCTACTTGTAAACTTGTAAACAACCCCTCGATCATGCATCTCTCGATCTTGAGCTGTGAACTGGCCCATGAGAATTCGTAACAAGGCCAGCCCGACAACCATGCCACAATGCCAGCACGGCCATGACGTGAGGTCTTTGCTCATGTGTTCCGCGCATTCCCGCAAACCGCATACACTCACAGGCCCAGCAACATTTGAAGGTGGCACTGCTGCCTTGCACTGACACGCGCGTGAGGCCACCGAAAATCCTTGTGACGTCCACTAAACTGTCGACCACGTACTGCTTCGGAATTGCAGCAACCTGCCGGGAAGTCGAGCTGCGAGGTTTTTGCTGACTGTCTATGCAAGTGAGTGAATTCTTTAGCGCTGCATGCGAGGAGCCCGGGACTCATCTGACGAAGCCGTGGATCTGAAGGCCGTGCAGATGCTGCAAAGCAGCGTCCATTGGGCCAACTGCAATATCAACATTCTCAGACCTGAGTTTGTGGGGTCACGACATGGTCGGAAGAGAAACAGTGGCACTTCTTCAGACGAGAACAAGTGCCTCCGGCAACAAAGTCTTTAAGATTGTGCTTCTGCTGGGATGAGCTTCGAGCCAACAATTCTTAAACTTGATTCCCCCTAATCTCTAAGCACATAGATTGGCAAGCCGAAACCTGTGCAAGCCGTGCTAAATTCAAGTCGAACGGCAACAAGGAAGCACACGCAACTAGCCGCTGCGGTGTGTGGGCTGGTTATGCTACATTTGAGCCAAGACATGCCAGCATCGCAGAGGAAAGTTAACATCTTACAACACGAAACGTGCTTCCGGAACTGGATGCGTGAACCCATCAGGAGATCACACCCAATCGTGAACGGCTGCAGCATCGTTTGCCATGCCACGCACTGCTTCTGTCACCCAGCTATTTATGATAGTGCCAATTCAACACGCAAGTCCTGGTGATCTCCAGCCACAGCTGCACAGAACGATGTGCATGCCAGCGCTTCGGCCAAGCTTCCTCCGCGCCGTGCAGACGGACGCAGCATCCTTAAGCACTGGCAGCGGACATGTGAAGCACAAATCGCCAGTTAGAAAGTGCGAAACATAAGCATAAAAAAGATGTACAAAAGCTCTGACAAACAGAGCCTTTCAATCCCAAATGTGCAGAATGGGTATGACCGGGTATGAGCTCAGTGATTGGGGTGCTTCGGCCGGCATCGCATAACAGCATGGCTGACTAGATTGGCATATGCGTCACAGTGTCATCCTGCCTGTCTCTGAGTTACACAAATTCTGAACTGAAGTAAGTTCTTTTCAACGGATTCACAGCCCCATCAGCATGTCGACATGAACTGTCGCGTATCGCTGACTGCAGCTTGTTTAAGGCAGACGGCATCGCGAGTTCAAGTGCTCCCAAATCCTCGCCATCTAGCAAGTGCCTCTGCTATAGCAGAGCGAGTGGGCCATTGCCATGGTGGCTTAGTTTCCGGCCGGTCGGTCCATCTGACACTCGCTACTGGTATCTGCGCTTTCCGACTAGCTGCACACGCCCCTTCTGGCCACCGACATGTCGGTCTTCGATCTCGAGCCTGTGTGTTCCCGACTCGGCTGGCCTTGCGTGCGCCAGCTTATCCCCTGTATCTGTGAGGTGCTAGGTTGGCTCTTTAATGAGCTTTACGCTACGCAAAAATTACTCATGCTAGCTGGGGACAGGAGGACACAAGCACTTGCACACCTGTTATCCACAGGATATCTCCTGAAACCGCCAGGCTATTTGCCAGAGCCACGTGGATGGTTGCAAACTGCTGCGGACATCCATGTCTCATGTCCCCTCTCATACATCTGCCAACAGCAACGACTCGATTCCGACACGCCTTCAATGTTTCCTATTAATCAGAACTCATTCTTTTCCATAATTTTGAGCTTGACAGCCGAGTTGGCCTTTGTGCACTGGACTCTGAATGCCCCCCTGAACTTGTCTGCCAAGCTGCCGCGGTGATGTGTGCAATGTCTGCACCTACAGCATTCAGGAGAAACTTCGCCCACAACAACATCCCTACAACGTTTCGGTATTTGAGCCACGCCTCCGCGAGGCTGTCCCCCAAGCGTAGTGCCCAAGTCTGCACTGAAGCGAAGGTCTCCTTCACAAGATTTGATCCTTCATTGACTCATTCTTGACATTTGACATGAGCAGCTCCTGTCACAGCTCCCGGCTTGACGGTTTAAAGCTCTAAGGTTAATTTGCGCGAGAAACAAAAACTTGGAAGGCTAAACCGAAAGGTGGGAGGTATCCTGACAGTTGTGCGAGAAACAGAAAGGCAGCACCTTCTCCGTGGTCGACGAGAAGACGGGCAAGGCCAGCCACTCACCTGGAGCCTTGGCAAGCGCAAAAAAACTGCAAGCCAGAATCCTTGAACGACCCCCAAGGTGGCAAGCAGTGCAAGCACAATCCCGCTGACTTTCTCTGTGAAGCATGTTTTCCTATCTGTCTGCCTCGCTGGCTGAAGATGGTGGCGCTTGGAGCTCCAACAGCACAGATGAGTCGCCAGAAGAATCTGCACAAGACTTCCAGGATAATCCGGGCACAAGGAAGCTTCGAATCTTGAGGTTTTCAAAGCTGGGTTCACGTCCAGAGTCCTGATGGTTCTCATGGCCCACTCAGATTAGGATGGGTCGGGAGAAGTTCGTACACTAGGGAGAGCGTTTACAAGGAGGCGGCTGCAGCGCCCCCATGCCACCCCTTCGCACCGAGATTCCATCCAACCGAAAGACTAGTGGGGCACAAGAAACTCTCGCGGCGAAAGTCAGGCTTTGGAGCTTCAGGTTGCCTTGTGGAGTGCAGCGGCTTAGCAGGGCCAACCTCGCAACAGGACAAGCAGAGAGCCGATCTTGCGATGTTGACTCTTGTACGGAAAGCCCACAGGCACAACGGTTCCGCTGATCTGCATAGAATACCGCCGTCCACGTGTGTGTGTGTGTGTGTGTGTGTGTGTGCTTTTTTCAGAATGACATTAATTAGGAGACTCCACTTGTTTTTGGCCCGGCCTTTGCTGAGTAGCCAAGAGTCTCCAGGTCTGTGGTGTGGAAACATTTGTGTACTGGACAGCTTCGCCTCAAATTGATGCAGTGACTTGTCGCTGAGATCATTCCGAGGCTGTCACAAGATCTATAGGCAATTTCGTACACAAATTCAAAACGCTGATAGGCAAGCCCGTGCCTAACGCTTGATCATCATCGTGTCAAGAGTAGCAGCTGCATTGTATAACTCTGCTTGGAGACAGGCCTCCTACAACCTCACTACGGTCACAGGTTCAGCGACCATGAACTGGAGGTCAAGGCACTGGGTCCTCCGTGAGCTTGGCCGCCCAAGGCTTCGCCACTTGGGCAGCTGACGGTCACACCCTGTGGCGCAGTGAGGCGAAGCTGCCTCAGCTGACAGCGCAGCACAGCACGGCTCTCAGAAAAGCAAAGGCCCACGTTTGACGCACCTTTCATACCCTCGCAACAAACAAAAGTGGTCATGGCAAAAGGTGAAAGATTCCTGATAAGAAATCCTTAAGGGTGCCCCTTCATGAGGAGCTCTGCCGGCCAGAACCCAGCCTTGTGTTGGATGATGTAGTTTGCTGCCACATGGGCCGGCTATGTGTACTCTTTGCGTCTACAGTAAACTCCCCAAAAAGTTGGAACATCCTTCTCCCCATACCCCAAAAGGTATACCAAAGGGAATCCCGGCTCTGATCATCCCTAAACCTTTATGGAGTTTACCATATAAGAACATTAGGGGACCTTATTGGGGCCCTGATTCGGAGGGAATCCTACTATTCGGGGAAGTAAACTAGGTAACTAGGGGTCCCCCTTGTGTATAGCCAGCTGGCAAAGGAAGCGTAGCCAGGCGGAGCTCTTCGAGGTGAAGGGCCAGGCGAAAGGAAAGGAGCCTCGGCTGCCTATACTTGGTATGGCTATCATGGGGTTCTAAGTACAGTCATTATTGGGTTAATAAGTACAGATATATATGTATATATATTCATGTGCTATATATATATATATAAGTACAGTTACTGTTGGGTTAATAAGTACCCTGAACCTCCAAGTACTCGGCCTACACAGCATAGTTGTGCTGGCGTAGACCCCAACAGTGCATGATACATTTTCATACGATAAGAAGTCGACCACCCCCGCGCGTGCGCGGAACTATAGCGCCACAATGGTTCGAGCTGCCGTCGACGGATGCACGAGCCATACACAAAATCACGCCCGGGCACGCTGTCCAACATCGCGACACCCAGCATTAACATGATTCTCGCTTAGCCCCGAGGTCTTCTCCGGAACGCGGAGGCACTAAGAGCTCGTGGCCGTGCGCGATTCGACTGCGATTCGGACGCGCACCACCTCAACATGCGCACACACGTACGTATGGTAAGCGGGAGCGTCCTGTGCCATTTGAATTGAGCACGTCATGCGCCCAAAATGGGCCCGCCCACTGAGCTTGTGCCGAAATTCCTTGAACATAAAAACCCCACATACTGTAGTGCAGGCAAGAAGGAAGACAGCAAGAGAAGGCCCTCCAACATAAGACTCCCACAGCAGCTGGCCCTTCTCCGCTTCGGGAAACCACTGCAGTGGCTGCAGCCGCGCCTCTAAAGAAGCAGGCAAAGGGAAACGGTACGAACATCCGCGAGAGAACGTTGCCTCCATACGACAGGCCCATGAAAGGTGCGCGCTGGTGCAAAGCTACACCCCCCAATCGTGCAGCTGCCCTCCGATGTGACCAGAAGCATACCTTCACCGTTTCCACGGTGGTCCCAACCAGATGCGCTGCAAGATATGCATCTAGAAATATCTAGGACCAACTGATGTGCGATGGCATATGAAATCGGATCAGCTTTCCAAAGCCTCAGCAAAGGAAATCAGCAATCACTGCAATAAATTCAATAACTGTCCGGCCTCCAGGCCTGATAGCTGGAAGCCCGTTAAGCGAATCACCTCCCGCTGCAGCTCTCAGTTCCACATGCGCAGCGTCCACCACCGGAACGAGAGGCAGCTGATTTTCCGAGGAGGCATGTCTTTGTCAACCAAGCAGTTGCGTTTCACAAGCATCTGGCAGCCTTTCACCTTTTCTGACTCCAGACTCCGTAGACAGCCGTAGACTGTACAGCAATATTTTTCAAGGGACCACGTTTCCCAGGCGAAGGCCTGCTGAGGCACCACGGAGGTGTGCAGCTCACGAGGGTCACTTACCTGGCTTGGCCCCGTGAATAAAGGAAAGACCCACACGAAGCGGATGCTATTTCTCATCACAGGCAAACGCCGAGGCTGCATGGTCGCTGGAGGGCCACATACCGTCAGGCAGCATGGACTGACTGGCTTCTGCAAGGCTTCTCTCTTAACATTTGTCGGAAACACAACTTCTGCGCTGACGTTGACTGCAGGTGGACTGGCAACCTGCAGCGCTCGGCTTGACAGCGTCTCAGGAAGCACTGCATGGACTCCTGTGGGCTGAGGGCCGGACCAGCCCAGGAGGCGCAGTGGAAGTTGAGGTCCCTTGTGCCACACCTCTGTAAAGTTTTAAAGGCGCAAGTGATGTGTGGCTTAGCTACGGCCTCATCTTTGCATAGCCACGAACTCCTTCTTCAAAGTCCTTCCGCTAGCCTCAAACGTCACAATTATACACTCCGTCGCCTCCGCCGCCTGCAAGCGACAGCGTTGCCAACTCCCAGCGGTTGGGCGCTCGAAGAGCGGCTGGTGAGAGGATTTGCCTGCAAATACTTGGAGAGCTACTGGCAGGCACAGCGACCTGTACTCTGCCTACACAACCGCCATGAGGCCCTGGCATGAAGAGCTCGTACGAAGCCTGTGCCTGCATTGCCTCAAGCACGGAAAACAAATGCACCTACACAAACTGAAGTTTGAAGTATCTCATGCACATTTCTGGGCATTCAGCATGTCTGCAAGACAGGTGGGACGTAGCCGAAGTTTGGTTACTCTAACGAGAGCCTGTCAGTTCAATACGGGGTGCAGCTTCATTCGCCCTGCACTTGATGTCCTTGTTGTGTGGCTTGCTTGGTTTGGGACAGCTTTCAAATGTCTCCCCTGCAGTATTGCCTGTGACCACGCCAACTATTGGACACCTTAAGACACATCTCGAATCTGGAAGCTGAGGACTCTACGTTCATCAACTCCAGTAGGGCTACGGAAGGCTCGGACGAGTCCCGCCAGCACTGCCCTCGGTTTGGCACGGTTTCAGTGCTTTGCTTGCTGATGAAACACCGTAAGCCCCTACGTATGGGCAGCCTGGCCTACATGAAGCAAGAAAAACTGGCACATTCCCCAGTCATACGCAATCATGAGCATGCCATCCGGGCACCTTACCTGGCTGCACAAGACCGCCTGGGCCAGAGCCCTCAACGCAGTCAGCTGCCCAAACGAAACCAGTGGGAGCTTGTACACGCAGGAAACCTTGGGCGGGGAGGACAACAAAGCCGAATCGCGCATTCCTGCACCGCAGTCAGTGCCTCCAGTTCTGGCCTACCGCCATCTGACATGGCTGCCCATGCCTTCTTGTGTCTTCGGGATGGGACAGCCCCAGCATCTGCACCTGCTGTGCTGGCTGGTGACTGCCAGCAGTGACATCTCGGACAGGCGTCATTAGGAAAGCCACCCGCATCAAGGCCTCGGTGTCTGATCTAAAAGAAACAGAGAGTGAGAGAGAGAGAGAGAAGGAGCAACTGCACAGAGTCTAATATAAGACAAAAAAAGCTATACTCAAATCTCCTCAGCACCTCTTGTGTGACCTCACATTCGGCAGTGCAACGCCGAGACCGCCGCGGAGCGCTCTCCGCTGGACGTCGCGACCTGGAGAGACCATGCGTGCACAAGAAAGCTGTCTTGTCTTACAGTACAGGCTCTCCCTTGTAACGGTTCACCCTCAGCTGGGCTCTCGCACCAGAGTGCTTCGTGGGTCGAAAGCTGGAACGACTGGCAGCGGACCACCCGGCCACTCCTGCCATCGTTTGCGCAATGACTCCCCCCTCATCTCGGCAACCAATGACAACGAGCGCTTGGCTGAGGATCTCTCTTGTTGTGCCACCGGCATCTCTATAGCAGGTACGGGCAACAGCTTTTTACACGTCACAGCTCTTGTCTGTGGCCCGCAGGCGTCACTCCAGGCTTGCGCATGAAGCGAACCTTAGCAGTGCTGTGGATGAACAATGACCACGACGACGATTCCATAATGGCTATCAGGGCAGATGCGATGTAGGGGCAACAGCTTCTTTGTCTCGCGAACATCAGATTCGACCGTGCGCTCTTATTAAACTTGTGTGGGCTGCCTTTTGTATGAGCTCCTTGTCCGCTGCGGCGTCCTGGTTGGAGGTCCAGTCTGCCTAAAGAGAGCAAAGACTTTGCAGGGCTCTTTCATTCTGCTGAGGGTGCCGCTTAGAGTTCCTGCTATGACAATGCTGTCCGTGCTTGGCGCCTCGAGGGCTGCGTACTTCCCTCGCAGCTTTGCCAGCCTGAAGCAATCACATTGTGCACGAGAACAGAATATGCTCCTGTCCGGATCGTACGTTGCTTTCTGCAGATCTACACCTCTGCTCTGCTTCGATTTGTATGACCTCATGACCCGCTATTGCTACCCACTAGGAGTGTCGGGATTCTTGGTCAATCAGGTGGATCTGCATCGAAGCGTCAGCGACGGCAGCTGCGAAGAAGATACTTCTGCATATGCAGACTCGAACTCGTCCTGCTGCAGGGAAATCAACAGCGGCATTGCCGACTCACAGGCACGTGCACAAAATCTCCTGCAACTTTGCCATGTTCGACCGGAGCTCCTGGGCTCAATTCCCCAAGGTGAGCTATCCAAAATACAAAAGACAGCGTCATCAACACGAAAACGGCCTCCAGCCATCATATGCTTAAACAGCACATGATGGGAAAACCTCCATTCTCTGCATGTTTCAAGATCATACTGTTCCTCCATACTGGATTGGACAAAACCCCTCTTCATATAGGCGTTAAGAGAACCTCCATTTTCCTTGTGCTTGAAGTGAGCAAACTCTCTAGCAAGTAATGTGAAAGTAAAACCTCGATGTCATCTCGGTACTTCTTCGAAACCTTTTTAGGAAGCATCTCTTTCCTCCATTTGTCACTTGGAAACCTCTGATAGGACAACTCTCTACTAGTTGCAGGAACCCTCTATTTCCTTGGGATTCATCTCGAAATCCTTCAAGCCTTGAAATGGTAAGATTGACAACCTTTGTCACCTTATAGGTTGACCTTTCGCCCTTAGATTCTAACTATCAGGAAAGCATCTATATATTCCAATCTATGTTTCAATGCGACAACCTCTCCATTTTCTTTACATCTTGATCGGACAACCTCTATCTGAATCGTAGTATGACAACCTTCCCTTGTCCATACCTAATCGCAGGCCTTGTTATTCAACCAGGCACGTAAGAGCGGGGGGCGTGGAGGGTACGGACGCAGCTACCGGCCCCGTTCGCTCCCCCACTCGGCAAAGCATGCAAAAGCATGGACGATGATGAGAGTTTTTTGTTTTGCTTCGGCCCTTTATTTTCAACTTGAACGCTCATTTTATGACAAGCAAGCCAAGGCCAAGGAAAGCATTCCCAAGCTCGACGACATGCTGACACGAAGCACGCAGGGGGACAAAAGAGAGAGACGAGAGACACATGGATGCTGTCAGGCACAGACGATGCTGAGGACGAATAAACAAGATGTGGCCATGGCCGTAGAGTAAGTTACAACTGCAAGTTGTTTGCATCTAGGCATCGTCACATTGTTTAGCTCACTCTGTCTCTGTCTCTGTGCGGCGAAACATACTCTGAATTTTGATTGATCCCCGTCTCCCCCAAAGCAGTAAGTTGCCTGTAGCTGAAAAACCTCTATTTCCTCCACATGTTTCAAAGCTTTGTTTCCTCGATATTGCAACAGGAAACCCGTATTCGCTCTCCGTGTTGAACGCAAATCCTCTACTGTGTCTTTTGCAGCAGATTGGTCCAACCATGAAAAAGCGGGCGATGATGAACAACTGTGTTGCTTTGGCTTCCTTTGGTGTCCATCGATGCACCTGTGTTCTTGCCATATTTTCATGGGAGAAGCATCATTTCCTCCCGTGAAGGCAGGAGGGGCTTAAACAGGCCGGCAAGCTCACCGGCCTCGAGTTTTGTCCAGTTGCCTTGATGCTGGTTTAATGTGACTCGTCTCTTTTCATAGAGATTTCAGTGATTTGCATGGTTTTGATCGGCATCCCCTGCCTGGGTGAAGCAAATCTCGGCAGGTACTTTTGGCATCATACGATTTGGCCAGGGCCCCCCTGTTGTCGGGCATGCGTGCACGCGCTGGAGCGTGTGCGCTGCGAAAAATGTGCAGAACATGGCACCCTCCCATCCATAACATGATCACACTATAAAATTCTTCTTCCTTCTGCAATCTGAATCTGACATGGCCTGGGAACCCTTTTTTGACAGTTGTGCAATCCTATGACTTGTGTCTGGGTTCGGTGGTGACGGCATCCTGCTTCGCCTTGCTGTCCTTGAATTGGGACTCCAGATCCTGATGGATTGCCCATAGTTGCACGTGCACGTGAAGGTTGGATCCTCAAGCATCACTCGGCATTGCACGGCCTCCAAGCTCAACTCAGTCAACTCGCGCAGCCGTCTCTGCAGGTCTGCAGGGCAAAGATCCGGCCGTTCAGGAGAGCAGGTTGCACTCAAGGCCTGGGAACATACTCATGAAGTTGCAAAACCTCGATTCGATCCTCGCTGGTACCTGGTGCGATCTAGGTTTAGTCCAGTCCCGCCTCTGCAAAGCGGGACAGCCCAGAGAGCGCGCCGTCATACAGCTGCAGACCATAGGGGCTGCCATACCTTAATTAAGCTTCTGATTGACATGCACGTCGCAATGTGACTCGAATGCAAGACCCCCCCCGCCCCTAATTCGATCTATGTTGCATGAAAGCTGGGAAGCTAGTCACGTTCAGCAGGCCGCAGACTTCTCGAGCCAGCCGACAGTTCACGTCCGTCACAAGCAAATGTGCGTGGCCTTCAGGCGTGCGAACACTTCATGGTCTGATGAAGCATGTTTCCGTTATCATTACACAGCTCAATGAGCCCTGTCACAGTGCGCAAACGACCGAATTGTACTTCTCATTGGTCTGAAAAGAGGAGAAGCAGGGGTCTTTGGAGCTTCATCCTTTCCTGCCAGACTGAGAATCGCCTGAGTACTCCAACTTCAGGGTTGACCAGTCAGCTGGGGAGCTGTCGGTGCAATGACAGGCAGACCTGAGGCGTGACAAGGGCACCAGGCAATTTGCACACCATTGCACACCGTTTGTATGGTAGTTGATGTGCTGTGCCACTGCTGCCCATCCACTGACTCCCGCCGGCCAAAAAAGGGCAAGAAGAGAAACAATTTGGAGCATTTCGTGTAAGCCCAGTTCCTACATGACCAGCCACGTGCAAACCCGCGGTTGTGTTCATGCATCTGCTATGGAACATGAGCTGCCATGGACAATACATTCAATACCTCAATATACCTTGCCTACACCATTCTCCCTCGACCTAGGCCCTAATTGCCGTTCCTTCTTGGGGTATGCAATTTCATGGTTGATGTATTTACATTCAGTGCCTCAATATACCTTACCTACACCATTCTCCCTCGACCTAGACTGCAAGCGGCTGCACCAAGCACGCGCACATGCGACCGACTGTCTCCGGCATCGTACAGCCCAGGGCACTGCAAGTTCAGAGCAGGGTCTTGCCAAGGCACCCAAATCTGACTAGCAAAACCTTGCCAGCAGTCTCCACTTGCCAGTTCTCCTTATGGAATGGAGTCATGTTGCTGAACGGACATCTCTCATGGTGACAAAACCTGGGCACGAAGCCTCAACACCCAAGGCTTCTCCGCTGCAGGGCAAGATGTGGCAAGGAACGTCCATGAGCTGTGCCGACCAGCACAAAGTCCAGCAAGTATGCCAGAGAACAAGCGAAATGGCTTTCATGGCAGAAGCAAGCAGACAATCCTAGAAGTATAGCGGGATGAGGAATCCACAACATTAGGTGCTTTAAGTTGACCACTTAGTTTTGACCTGCCAACCAAAGCTCTTCGTGAATGATCAGGTGCCAGAAAAGAACAGTTGCCAATGCAATGCTGCTGAATCATACTCGCTGTCTCAATCAAATTACAAGCGCCGTAGAGTATGCCGCCTGAACCAACTTCACTGCTCCCTGCTAATGCACCACAGTCTTCTGTTGCAATGGCACATCATGGCGCGGCCATGTCATTCTTGAGCCGAAGCCGCAGTGTCCGCGCGATCTTAAGTCGAACTCAAAGCCTGATCGAAAGTTGCTTGCCACATGGCTACCCCACATGTGCACAAACATGTTTCCCCACCCTATGGACGGAAGGACTTCACGTCGCAAACGTGCGCGACTGAGAAAAAGACAGCATAGTATCACGACCACACTGCAAATCACTATAGAGTAAGATCCAAATACTGACAAAGTCAATCGCGCTGATCCTCCTCGAAGCTTGACCAAGGCTTGAAGCTCCGAATTCCTTTAACCGCATCTCTTTGACTGCCTACTTGTAGGCAGTCAGCGGCGACTACAGAGAATTCAGAATAGGCTTGAGTCTTTAGCGTTGGTGCTTTGCAAAGATCTAGTTCCACGCCTGTTGTCGAGAAGGCTATAGTTCTTGCCCAAGGGGCTTCTACATTACTTTGGCCTTGCACGAGCAGTGGTGAGACTCCCACACACGGATGCACATGGCAGGCGATGGTAAGCATGCGCCGCTCCTCAAGGTTGGTGTTGGTGACGCTCTGTCGGTCGACCGACCAGTCCTGGCATCGCAGTCGCAGTCTGAAGGTCGGTCTTGCAGAGGTCGCAATCACGTTAGGGCTACAAAAGGCCGATGTGCACATCGTTCCTAAGCAATCCTTAACATGATGCCAGAGGGGTCCGGACGCGCTGGTTGCGTAGCTGTTCTTGCATTACACTTAAATGAAAACCGAACCCTATAGAAGGCCACCAAGAGCAATCATTCCTCATGATTGCTCGATGCACGAAAAGGTGCGTTCTTGATGTACAAATGTATTTAACGGACTATGGCGGACATGTGAGCACAGTTGCACTGTGGGCGAAGCGCTGTTCCGCTTTTCACGCCGCTCCACTGCCATGAGTCGAGGAGCACACGGATCTTAATCCGGGCTCGCCTTGAATTACAGTTTACAAGACCCGGTCGATCCGGTCGATACCCCAATAAATCCCTGCGAGCACCACGAAACACTACAAAGCCATGCCCCAAGCACCTCGCGCAGGGCGGTTAGTAAGAGCCAGCCGCTGTCTGCTGCAAGAGACCTTAACGAGAAATACTGATCGAACTGAATCGACGTATTGTACGCTTTCTTCCCTCTTTCAGTGCCTTCGCTCCAAGCTCAAAAGCTTGGGTGCAGGCCGTACGTGCACTCTCAGCTGAATCCTGCAAACATCCCAAAAGCCCAGGGTCCAACAACAGGTGCCGGGGACAACGGCCATTCTTGTGGCCAAGGCGCGACAAAGGCTGCTCGGCAGGCAACGAGACCAAGGATCTGCACATGGGCTTCTGACACAAAGTGGGGTTCTGGCTTCGGTCTATAGCGTTGCCATGCGAGTCTCCCTGTGAAAGCTCTTGGCACATGGCGGCTTGCGAAAGTGCGGCGTCGCCGACTGGTACGTACGCCTATAATGGGCTTGCCGATGCTTGTGGAACGGACTGGGGCCCACACTCATTCACTTCGCCAGATTCCTTTCCACTTGTCAAGGTGCACAACAGGAGAAGCAGACCAAATCACAGGACAGCGAAGTCCGAAGCAGCGGTCAATTGCGGACTATATCTGTCAGGAAGACTGCCTGGAACAGCACATCCAAGCGCGCTGTGTAGGAAGGAGTTGGCAGGCTCAGCCTTCCATGCCGAAGCTGCAAGCTGTAGTTGCGCAAGCAGTGGGATTTTAGTACATTGTACAGCATATGCATCAATATATATATATACATATACACACATACAAATAAGTTTGCATGAATACATGCATGCATACATACATACTGCATTACATGTAATGCATTGCATGCAATCCACCGAGGCCTTGGGCCGTATGTGTCTGGGTAGAACAAAGCAGCTATTTTTTGGCCCCCCTCCCCCCCACCCCAAAACTACGGCGCTTGGAGGGCGTTTGGCCTTGGGCCTCCATTGGGGCCTTTCCCCCGTTGCCTTCTTACAGAAGCTCAGGCCTAGGTGGGTCGCGTAGCATTAAAATTGCATCCACTGCATACACGACATACATTACATGAATACGTAAGCAAATGGCATGTTAGGCTTACGCTTGGTCCTCGAGGAACTGAGGTTTGCGAAGTACAGAGCAGCGTGGAAGAGCGCACCTCTGGCTGTTCTGGAAGACATCATCGTCGCCTGGCATGTCTATAGAGAACAGGAAAGCGTGGCCGGGAAGGTAGCTGAGCTGCGTGAAGGGACGATGCGCTGTCGCACGCATGCTGCACCAGAGCGTACCTCCGATGTTTTTGAGCGTCGTGGCAACTCGCACCTCGGTGGTCAAAACACAGTTGCTGTCTGGCTTTTTCTGACGGTATACCAGAATCAACTTTCCTGTTCCTAGTGACGTGGCGGCTTCGAAACTTAGCACTCCACCTTTCTACTCAGTAACGACTGGCTCGTTTCCAAGTGCCGGACAGCTGCCGCCGCCAATCCAAGGACCTCGCCGCGTGCAGCAGGCAAAGTAAGAGTCATGAAGGCCCAATGCTAAGCTGTGAAGACCGACGCTTTCTCCAAGCATCACGCCACGTCGGATGCAACACCGATGCCAGCTGCAGGGTACAAGACCAAGCGGGCACCCTTCGGCACAGCCGCCTGACGCCATGACCACCAAGGACCAAGAAAACCGCCTTCATAAGGCACTCCAGAGCTGGCCTGCAAAACGAATCCCAGTGTCAAGTAGTGGTCTCGGTCAGCCTTGAAATGCCAGGGTGAGATTGCAACTTGAATCCCGAGTTCTGGCCATAAAAAAAGTTGAAGCTTTTAAGCTTTTTTTTTCAAAGGTTGCTACTGGGCATAATACAGCTGTCAGACTAGCAAGATAAAAACACATGTTGCACATGCAGAGTCATTGAAGCTGCAAAGAACCCTTTTTGCAAAGCAGCGGCTGGCAATTGTAAGCTTGCACGAAATAAGGAGTAACAGGTCTGACACAACACAGTGACATTGACGGTGAAACTTGGTCTGACTTAGGAACTTGCCTGGCAAAGCCTTGACGGGAATGTTGCCTAGCAGAATCTTATTGACTGTCGTACTGTTAGGTGCAGACAATCATCCGCGCTGCAATCACTCATCAGTGGCCTTGGAAACTGCAGCAAACTCAGGCAATGATGTGACTGTGACGTTCAAAAAACCAGGACAAGGGGGCCTTCCATGCCAGAAGATGCTGGGTACCGACTGAAGAAGTGTTCACTCGTCCAGTCTGACAGGCCACCTGCAGAAACCCAGCACGCGCATCAGCGCTTAGCCGTGCTGTCTGACGCCGGACCAAGGCGTGTTGGCCAAAATCTCGCAGGCCCTTCCCAGCAAAATCAGCCCCACACCCGGCCAACGGTGTAAGAACCGGCACTTTATACCTGGTCCGTGCTCGGTCCTTTGGTAGGGCGTCTGACTCAGATGCAAGAAGCAGTTCATCAATTGAAATTTGACTGAAAGGATAATTGAATTTTCATTGTCTGACACACGCAAACTGCAAATAGGCGGGAGTAACAGAGTAACACATGTGTGAAGCAGCAGTCGAAGTAATGGCCTTCCACGCCAGAGGATACTGGGGATCGTCAACTGGATAGATGTTCGTCCAGTCTGACAGGCCACCTGTGGAAACCCAGCACGCGCATCAGCGCTTAGCCGTGCTGTCAAACGCCGGACCAGGGCGTGTTGGCCAATGTTTCCCCAGACCCTTCCCAGCACCCTCAGCCCCACACCCGGCCAACGATGTGAGAACCGGCACTTATACTTGGTCTGTGCTCGGTCCTTTGGTCGGGCGTCTGACTCAGAACCCAGCGGGCGAGAAATCTGACACTGTGCCACAATCACGTCCGTTTACTTGTATTTAACCAAAGCTGGAAAATCAAGCTGTCAGATCACTCACACTCGCAAAATTTCAAAGAGACGGCAGTAACAGTAGTAACACGTGTCAAGCGGCCTTCCATGCCAGAGGATGCTGGGTACCGACTGAAGAAGTGTTCACTCGTTCAAGTCTGACAGGCCACCTGCGGAAACCCAGCACGCGCATCAGCGCTTAGCCGTGCTGTCTGACGCCGGACCAAGGCGTGTTGGCCAAAATCTCGCAGGCCCTTCCCAGCACACTCAGCCCCACACCCGGCCAACGGTGTAAGAACCGGCACTTTATACCTGGTCCGTGCTCGGTCCTTTGGTAGGGCGTCTGACTCAGACCAAAAGCGACTGGCAAGCCTTCTCGTCCAAAGATTTAAAATTTGAGTCATTATTAATCATCTGACAGCATTCGCACACAACAGGCAAAACCTTGAATTTGCAGTCTCGGAAAAGCTACGACGACTTGTCAGAGCTAACAGACACACAGCCAGCAACCCCCAGCCCAAAAGCAGTAAGTCTGTAGGCCTTCCATGCCAGACGGTGCCGGGTATCGACACAAAGAATGTTGCACTCATTTCTGTCTGACAAGCCCACTGCAGAAACCCAGCATGCGCATCAGCGCTTAGCCATGCTGTCAAACGCCGGACCAGGGCGTGTTGGCCAAAATTTCCGCAGACCTTTCCCAGCACACGCAGCCCCACACCCGGCCAACGATGTGAGAACCGGCGACTTATACTTGGTCCGTGCTCGGTCCTTTGGTAGGGCGTCTGACTCAGAAGCAAGCACCCGAGGAGTCTCACACTGTAGCAAGAAGCAAGTCCGTTCACTTTTCACCAGTGAGACGCCTGAGATTGTGTCTCACACGCACAATGACAAAGCTGTAACAGGTGTCAAGCAGCAAATCAATGTCCAAGACTTACGACAGCCTTCCATGCCAGAGGATGCTGGGTACCGACTGAAGAAGTGTTCACTCGTCCAGTCTGACAGGCCACCTGCAGAAACCCAGCACGCGCATCAGCGCTTAGCCGTGCTGTCTGACGCCGGACCAAGGCGTGTTGGCCAAAATCTCGCAGGCCCTTCCCAGCACACCCAGCCCCACACCCGGCCAACGGTGTAAGAACCGGCACTTTATACCTGGTCCGTGCTCGGTCCTTTGGTAGGGCGTCCGAATCACCAGAAGCGGCGGCTACATATACTACGGACGCATTGCCATTGCTGGCCAGCATGTCTAAGAAATAATATGTTATGCTGGCAGGGACTCGCCATGCGGGCAAGAAGCTTGACAGAACTATCACTTTCAGCACGCATATGGTTTATTTCAAGAACGCAGGCAAACCAATCAAACAGCATTGACAGACAGTACTAGACTCACTAGACAGGATCTGGCCTTCCATTCTTGAGCTGCTGGGTACTACCGCCAGGGCCAAATGAAGACTTGGACATGCAGAACGCTGCACTCATTCATGTCTGACCTGCGGAAACCCAGCACGCGCATCAGTGCTTAGCCGTGCTGTCTGCGCCGGACTAGGGCGTGTTGGCCGAAGTTTCCCCAGGCCCTTCCCAGCACCCTCAGCCCCACTCCTGGCCAACGATGTAGGAACCGGCGTTTTCATAAAGGTGGTCCGTGCTCGGTCTGTTGGTAGGGCATCTGGGAAAAGTCTTACTGAGCAGTTGTGTGCATACTGTGTCACTCAGCACGACAAAATCAGAAATCAAAAATTAATTTGGCACTCACTCATTAACCTGTGTCAAGCAGCAGACTTATGGCCCTGGCCTTGCGAGGATGCCGAGGACTCGACATGTTCACTTGTCTGACAGGCCACCTGAAGAAACCCAGCACACACATCAATGTTTAGCAGTGCTTTCAGACGCCAGTCTACGACATGTTCCCCCGAGAAATCTGAGACTGGCCATGGGGTGGGTGAGTGTGAGGAGTCGTGCAGGGAAATGAGGGTGTACGTCAGGGTAACGACAGTTGGTGAGTTTGTTCATCAAAACTGCACACAGTACATTGGATTGATACCACATATCATGACCATGATACGTTTCCCAACTTTGAGGCGGCTTGTCAGAAAGATGCACATGCACTGAAGGGCTGGTTTTGCCTAAGCTGCTCCCTTCAGGGTTTTGGGGGGAAGGCATTTGTGTCATTGCCTCTGACTGTCCCTCTAAATGCTCCAGTTTCTCTGACTCACAGCCACTGCCACTCGCTGTCACCGACTCCATCCAGTCGGCCGAGTCGGGCCTTTGCCAGCAGCGTTTTTAAAACGCTGCCAGAATTCTGCGCACACACACTGCCCTGGCTGGCTACTACACGCGGCAACCATGTCTGACGTGCCCTGCAAGCACCTGTGCTATTCCAAATCTAACTGCTTCCCGTCTCAGGGGAGGATGACATGATCCGTCGTCTCACAGGAAGTGCCATTCCTCCGGGTCCATGTCCTCCTCCTCCTCGTCCACAGCCAACCGGTTCTGGAGCGCAGGTGGCGGCAGAACGATCATGTAGGTGCCGATGAAGAACAATACCCGAATGTGTCCGACATCGGTGTAGGCAGGGTAGTAGTACGTGCGCGTCCCCCCGAGCATGTCTGGAAGCTCTTGCTGAATGCAGCCCGCTGGTCTGAAGCAGAGGTCCCATCGTCGGATACCTGCGTCTGACGCACAGGCGAAGTCCGTGAGCAGAATCTGGCCTGATGTTGTCATTGACCACAATCCTTGCGATCCCCATGCTCTGCGATTTGTACGGGTGCGGCGAAAAAAGAAGATGCGGCCGTGGAGTGGTGATCGTGCATGCCTTCGCTCTGACTCCAGCAACAACCACTCGTCCCTCCTTCCAGAACCCTGGTGGTAAAACTTGAACAAGAAGACCTGATAAGGCGGCATGCTGACGCTTGCCCAGGAAAGGAGGCCGAGTCGACAGGCACACTTGGGGGTTTCTTGAGATGGTAGGGGGCGGCGGGCGAGCAGGTTTCGAGAAGGACACATTACAAGAATCCAGGGAACTGCTTGGAGCTGTTGGTGTCCAATGAGAGTCTCAGACAGTCAGATATTCGCATCCGAGGCTCTGACTGGAAGCAATCTCCGCTGTGGCCAGATTCAGCTCGTGCCTTGGCCCAAACTTCACTGAAAAAGCTACACCCCACACCGCGCTGCCCCCGCCCCTGAACTTTCTGACTGGAGGGCGAAGGGAAAACTGAAGGACGCAGGCCCTGTTGTCAAGGCTACCACCTGGGCTGGTGGCCACTCGGCGGAGGTTGCAGCCTGCGAGAAGCAACAGCTTACGCAGGTGAGGAAAGAGTTTGAAGCAAGCACTTCTGACGTGAAACTACTCGCTCAACAGTCTAAGACATGCAAGGCAGGTATTCCATCATGAACATGCGCACTGCGCAAGCTGCACAGAAGCACCATATTCACACTCGCAGCACCTTGTCTTTCACCAAAAGGCCTCAGACATTGCTCTCGAACAAGTTGATTCAAAACCAAGGCATCTTAATTTGCAGGACCCTCTGAGTTTGTCAGTGGTCAGTCAAGGTCTGACATGGGCAGCCAGGCATGAAGGACATATGGTACGACACATGGCAGGTGCAAAAGTCTGCCAGAGGCTGCCACTCTCTGACGAGTGTCCACACTGCAGTCTCACACTTCAACGTTTCAAGTCGAGACCCCTGAAATCGCAGATCGCGAACGTGGGCTACAGTGCCGAGGGCATGGCTCTGCATTTGTGCAAGAGACGGTCTCAAGTGCCTCGAGCAGGTTTGTCAGAATTGAAAAATGCGACAATGACAAGACTGCAACACAAGCAAGGAAAGAGCAGGGATGACAACAACCTGAACATCTCCCCCAGCTCGCGCAAGAGTATTTTCAAGTTTCCTCGCTGTTGCTGCTGCGGTCTGACTGGAGTCCACGGGTGTATCCGAATCCAAGCTCAAAACCAGACTGTCCGACATAAAGTCACAGTCAGAAACTTCACAATCTTGAGTCTAACAACTCCTCGCATGATTCTGCAGCAAGTTGCAAGGTCCGACTGACTTATGCAGTCTAACGAGGATGTCCTGGGACAAAATTGAAATACTTCAGATATGTCAAGATCGGGAGGCAGACCTTCACAAGCATGGCAGCACGCATGCCGTTGCCCAGCATCTCGCGGAGCTCCGACAATGTGTGACACGAGTAATCCACCTCAGCCGGGTTGAGGCCCAAGCCACGGACCATGTCTGCCTTGTCCATGAAGCCCTTCTTCTGATAGTTGTACCAAAGGCAACCGGTTGTCAACGTGGCCAGTCCTCCGTCTGACCTGTAGTGGCCCCGGTCCACTGTCTGACTCAAGTCTGCCAGAGGGTCTGACGTCCCAAGCCCGGCCGACTGCAGCATCATCTCATACACATCGACCTGTGCCCGGTGCCAAGCGCCCATTTCTGTGCCACTGCTGGCTCTCCTTTTCACCGGGGGCGGCTTCACATCTGACGGTATGCGTTTGGCTTTCACGGCCTTCCTTAGATGAGCCACTCGAAGGACGGACACGCAAAGACGGAATGAACGACGACAAGACCATGACAAACGTCTCAGATTGAAATCACAGTCAGGTACTGTGCTCAAAGATGAGAGTGCCACAGGTTTGTAGTGTTCATCTGCCGAACAGGTCAGGGTGTGTCACAAAGTGTTTCGTGAGGCTTCTTTGATGGAAGTGCTGTGACTGTGCAAACAGAGGTGCCAATGGATTAACACTCAAGAGACGCATAAAAAAAGTCCTAATGACTACTGCAGCAAAGGTTCTTGCATGCCTCAGCGAAAAAACGATGGTACTCAGTGTCGTCCTCCATGACTGACCGTGCTTTCGACACTGGGCCCTTGTCAGACCACGAGAAAGCAGCAGCAGAATGGCGTGGCATTTGGCTGCACATCTCGCTGAGAATGCTCACCTCGCGAACCCAATCTGACGCAACGAAGTTGCTGTCTGACGAGCCCAACAGGACAACACGTGCACGACTCTCTGACTGAGGCAAGGCATCGACAACCATCGCAGCATGCGTGTAGTCCGGCAAGTCTGACTGGAGAGCTTCTTCGTACCACATCAAGGGGGTCTGACGTCCACCCTTTATGCGAGGCTGCAAGGCGCCCAAAACATTCTCCAGGACGTAGAACTTCGGCCGGTGTTTCTTCACGAACGCAAGACTTTCAACGAAAGTCTGACACTCTGGCTTGTTCAGGTCGATGGGGTCTGACGTGTAACGTTCTGAGTTGGACCTGCTGTTCAGCTTGCAGGAGAAACCGGACACAAATAAGTCCAGGTTCTGCATGCTCGGGTCTGACAACTTGCAGCAGCGGTTGTGCACCCAGCACGGCCCGGAACCTCTGACGCTGTACTTGATGTCCTTGAAGATGTGGTCAACGTCGAACGTCTCAGTCTGACGAAGCATGAACATCGCCGGCGCCTGCTTCATTTCTGACGCGCATACAGACGCAACCTCACCCTTCTTCAGCATCTTGGAGACAACATAGTGAGGCAGACCGGTGCCATCGCAGCCGCCTGCCATCATCAGAGGCGTCTGACGTCTCAGGCCACCGTCGGTCTGACTCTGCTCCAGTCCGGCGTCTGACAGAAGACTCGCCAGGAAGGATTGAAGATCGAACTCGTCGTCGGTCCAAACTGTCTGACGGCCCTCGTCACCTGCGTGGCGTGGTTTCTTGGCTGCCGGCCGTTTCATGGCTGCGGTGGTCTGACCTCGTTTTGGGGCCATGCTGCCTGGGAATTCTCTGACAGGCACTGTCACTGACTGGGCTTAGGGATGCCTTCTGAGCCTCTTATCTCTGCGGCTTGATGCAGTTCGATTCTGAGTCTGACTCAGTATTAGTAAATAAGACTGACGTCCAGTGATTTCACAACAAGCCACGGCCTGCAGAAAAATGTCCAGCTCCAAGTCTGCCAAAACAGGACTGGCCTCAAAGCACTGCATCAGCTAGCACACAAGGCATCAAATAACAAGTGAACCCAGGGGTCTGTTCACAAGCCAGCAAAACAAAACTCATGATCAGACAGGCCTGGCTGACAGGTCGAAAAACACGTTCACATCATCTGTCTTACTCAGTGTCACCACCAGTGGCAACGAAGTCTCACGCACTGCGAGGTTCCAGGCATGAAATCATATGACAGGATAGCACATCCAATCACTTCAGAACTCCAAGTCAGTTCCACTGCAGTCTGACAAGCACAGAAGCTGGAATGCATGAGCGAGTCAGGATCCACGACAAAAGACATGTATTGAATTCCCCTCTGATTCTGACAGATACGCTGTACACATGCTGAGCTGAGCACTTGTCTGACATTTCCGCCAGCAAGGTAGCGATGAGCATCACTGCAAGCAGTGGCCTCGGGAGTCATTATAATTATATAATCTGCACTCTCATTCCTAGCGACGCCCACACCACAAAGGAACATTTGTCAACACAGTGACGTGAATCTGCTGAGTCATGCACTTCCGCGGAAGACGGTCTGACCTGACATTCAAATTTCAAAAGAGCGAGACAGCAAGTCAGTCTCGGGCCTAAGGTCTGACTCACACACACACACAGACACATATCGTTCTCGGAAGCAGAGTGTCAGGCCGATGGTCTCTCGCACTTCACCAATCCTGTCCTGTCAAGAGCCGATGCTGCATGACTCCGACCTGCCCTATGCCTTGGAAGAGCTCACAAGCGGCAAGCACTGGCACGAGATTGTTTCTGCGCTGCCTGCCTCCAAAATTATTTCTGACTGTCACGCACTTTGCGACGACAGTTGGGTGACGAGAATGACATTGTCACATGTCGTTCTCTTTGACCAAGGCCATGGTCTGACAGGCTAGGAGCAACATTGTCGCAGCTGTGGGAACTGAGGCCATGTTGGCCAGTGTGTGCGAACTGTATGACGGCTTGCACAGACTAAAGTCCAAACAGCAGCCATGCAGGCGGCTCGTCTCGCCCAACGTCATCTGTCTGACATCACGTTTTGTCTTAGTCAGCATTGTACTTCCAGGTGTCAGAAAAGAAGCCACAGTCTCCAGCCCGGAATCAATGACTCGCACCTTCTTACGAGCTCCATCCATGAACAGCGCACTCTGGTTGGCGGGCTTCATCCTGTCCAGATACGCGATCGCGTCCTGCAGTCGTTGCCGCTTCTGGCTGACAAGAACAGGCGGGTCGACTTCATGACTCCCGGCCATGACTGCGTCTGACGCTTCCTTCACGTTGCTACTCGATGCCGAAGAAGGTCGGGCAGCACCTTGCACGGGGATGTTGCGAACTCAAGGCAGACCCCCTTACACGCAACCCCAGGAAGGTCATGAGCCACGTCCTGCCTGAGCGAGATTGTTCATGAAGCTCGTCCTTGTCATACTTCTGCATTTTCTGCTCTGTCTTGCTGTTGCAACCACCATCAGAAATCCAATTTTCCAGGCAGCGGTGCAAAGAGGCATTGACGTCTTTCATTTTCTTGATGGTTTCGGTGCCCATGGACGGCTTCTCCTTGTCGCACCACCTTGGCACACAAAAGTGTATTCGCAACACGCCAATGGACTCTCCACTTCAAGCATGCTGAAACAAACATGGGCACATGTTAGCCCCGATGCACAAACTTAAGCTCATGACAATGCTGTGTCTGACAAGAGACATGCAGATGTAGCCTGTGGAGTCTGACTGCAGCAAAGCGGAGGTCGGAAACCAGTCCTGTAGCTTCAATGTCTTGCCCTCAAACACTGTGTTGGCATCCACGTCTGACGCAAAGGATAGCTCCATCGCTGTGCCTTTGTTACAAGGCACACTGAAGTGCACCACAACGACTGTGGCGGACTTTGTGGCTTCACAGAGGCTTGTCTGACGCAAGAATGCCCAGCTGTCCTTGTTCTTCCAGATTGCGTGTGCCAGCAGCATCGTCTGACATTTTTTGCCCGTGATGGTGTCTGACGAGTCTGACTGGTGCCCAAAACTGACCCACGGCATCGGAAACATGGTTTTCACACGAATGCGCAGAGCCTGATCCTCGTGACCGTGCTCTGACAGCACTCTGGGCAGGAAGTATGGCCGACTCAGGTCTGACAAGAGAGACAACGCGGCTGGCAGCTGATACAGGACGACCTCGTAATTTTCTTCGGATGTCCATGCCAGGAGGTCTGACACTGTTTTCACATCCATGGCTGCACACAGAATCGAACAACAAACACTTTCTTTCAGAGCCAAAGCCCGACTGACAACGACAATGCAAGGACTACAGTGACGAATCTCTTGAACCCCATGTACACTCTGCCACATCAAGGACCAAGGCAATGGCAAGGACACCATTTTGGCAGCCACAGTCTGTATCTGACGGCCGAGTCTCGAGTCATGATTGTTGTGCACTCTCTGCTGGCATTGCCGGGGTGCCGAACTTGAATGCAACATGTTTTAGCTGGCAGACTAGTCTTGTGCCCGAAATATTCTGAGGGTATTCAGGATCTTGGCCTTTGACCCTACACTATATAAGTGTTCGGGCCGTGACGGTTTTTCAATGGGGCTCAGTCCTTCGGTTTTCAGGAAGGCATACGCTTGAAGTATCTCTCCTTCTCGAGAAAGCTTATGATATTCCTGCAAACCGAAGGACCGAGCCCCGGGCCCCGGAAGATTTGTATTGTAGTCCGGAGGCCTCCGTAAGCTACCCCCTTTCCAGATATGATTCGCCTAAGTTAATGAGTCAGTAAGGCATACAGAAAACGCGCCAGGCAGATTTTCGGCGATCCTGGAAAGGTCGAGGCTTCAGGCCTGTCTTCAGCATCGACCTTTCCAGGGTCTCCAAAATATTTTTTTTGAGGGCTCGTTTTCTTTATGTCCACTTTAAATTAAATAAAACTATTCTGATTCCATAGGCGAATCATATCTGGAAAGCGGGTAGTTTACAGAGGCCTCCGGACATAGCTATAATTTGGGGTTAAGTTATACAAGTCTTCCGGGGCCCGGGGATCAGTCCTTCGGTTTTCAGGAAGGCGGCCGAAGCTTTCTCGAGAAGGAGAGATGCTTGAAGCCTGAAGCCTTGACCTTTCCAGGCTCGGGGACTTTTTTTTATTCAGGGTACTCGAATGTTTGGCTGGGGGGAAATTATTTCGTAACATTCTGAATCATGGACATGGCCATTCGCATGTGTCCTCTATCTAGTTCACAGGCCCCCCCTTGAGTCAGAGAATCGCCGAGACGAGATGCTGTGTCTGACACGTTAAAATCGATGAATCTGACGGTCCGGAGCATGGAGTCTTTCACAGACCTCCTGGCCGTAGAGCAACGAGCACTGCAGGACGAAGGTGACGCCCCTTCGGAAATCCTAACATGATCGTATAGTCTATTACCGCTACTTAGACTAACTAGAACTCTATTTCTCACACCCCTGGCACCACTTCTGTCATGTCACCTCGTCATGGCATCACACTCACTCCTTGTCGCTGCTGGACGATGACGACTCGGAGTCTGACCCTTCAGCGCGTTTGCGCTTGCCACCAGTCGTCTGACAACCACCACTCGTCTGAGGACCAGGTGAGTCGGGCATCACCGACGCGTCCAGGCTCGCCGCAGCCCTCGCAGCATCCAGGCGTGCTTCTTCCGCATGGCCTCCTGTCAGACTTCTGACACGGCTGATCGCTCTGCGAGTGAAGCCATTGTTGACTCCTCTGACAATCTCCACCATAATCTGGAATGTCAGGGATTGGCGCAGTGTGTCTGATTGGCCCGGCAAGCAAAAGGCCACGTAGGGAACACACTGTCTGGCGGCTTGCAAGGCTGCCAAGCCCGGCCCGGGCGTGAAGTCGATGATCTTCCACGTGGCTGGCCGTCTGACGCCGTAGAGGTTGTACATCTCCGCCCAAAACATCTCTGACGGAGACCAGGCAAACCAAGTCATGGTTTGGTCTGACTTGACACTTTCCTCCGGCGTCGTCTCTGGCTCACCGTCCACAGTCTGACTGTCCGCCGCCTCACCCTCAGCCTTTGTGTCTGACTCGTCGCCTTCGTGGTCCTCATCCCCCGCGCCGGCAGCCATGTCGTGCTCCTCCTCTCTGGCGGACACGGCGGTGGAAGTCCCCACTGCCTTGGCTCAGCGTGTCTCGTCTGACAGCAATGCTCGCCTCGGCACCACTTCGAATGCTGAGGCCTTGGAGGCTGCGCGTGTAGTTGCTCCCCGGCAAGTCAAGGAACTTCCGCGGCCGAGTCTCTGTCTGACACTTTGTCTTACAGAGGATGAACAAGTTCTCGACAGGATCCGGCAAAGCAATCCGGCCTGTCTTACACGCCTTGGAGGAGTTCTTTCTGACGTAGCCGTCCTTGGTGAACTCGAGATTGTTGCAGCAGAGTCTGACTGGCGTGTTCATGAGCTTCTTCGGGTACTCTGAGTCCCCTTTCACAGCCTGTCTGACCTTGGAGTCTGGCAGGTCGCAGCGGCTAAGACTTTAACTAACACA